AAATGTGTGTATTTTTCTGTTGTGAAGTTTTGGAAGAGATGATAAACATGTATTTATATAGATAGGATTATATGGCACACGTGATTATAAGAAAATCTGAACAAATCATTAAAAAATCGGATTATAGGAATAGATAAGTCCAAAAAAGGCTAAAATAAATAACCAAATATATTCAAAAATTTTGAAACGATTTGATGGCGCTCGGATTAATAATTTTAGCCAAAAATCTTTCACATTTTTTTCACTTTGGGCGGGAATTTGGCATCTTTTTTTGTTTTTTCAAATAAATATCATTCCCTCTTTATATATTAATAGATGATTTAATGTTGTTAAATACAATCTCCAATGTGATATTATGATTTACTGTTTCTAAATATAATTATGGAGCAATTCAGAAAGGGGATAAATAGTAAACGATCAAATAAGTGAAAATCAATTAAAATTGATTTTGAGTTAAATTGAGTTATTTTTAATAAAGTTGTCTGAGTGAGATGAGAGATTGTAACTATATATATTTAAAATATAATGATTAAAATTGATATAACGTATATATATAGAAAAATGATATATGGGAGATGGTACAGTCTTGTTACGGAACCATTCTGTGGGGGTTTGTCCTTTATGGTTCAGGGTTTGTAACCGTCAGACATCATGCAATCGTCGGGATAATTGATCTAACAGTTACAAATTTTGACGAAATAGTTACGTAGCGGGACCGTATTATTTCTCTATCATTTCCAGTGTTCTAAAAGTCGGTTGGTGCTCGCTAGGCGCTCGACCAGCGCCTAGCGCCTAGTCGGGGCCTAGATATCAATATTAAAATATCTTATTTTTTATTTATTTAACTACCTACAAAATAAAATTATCTCAACCTATATCGACACACCTAAGTCCAAATAATAAAATTAATATATTTTTAAAGAAAACATGAGAACAAAATAATGTATTTAGTATTTAAAAAAACTATAAAAAAAACTGAAAATTGTCGCCGAGTCCGCATAGAAGCGCCTAGGTCTAGGGATGTCAATAAAACCCATAGGGTCGGGTTACCTGCGGGTTATCCGCTTTTTTTGATCGGGTAAACCCGAGATGGTTGGGTTTCGGGTCGGGTTAGGGTAGAATTATGCTACCCGAATCCCGGGTCGGGTCGGGTCGGGTGCGGGTATAGTAGGCAAACCCATTACCCGACCCGATTACCCTACCCGTTTACCCGCAACCATTGAATTATATATACATAAATACATATACATATATATATATATATATATATATATATTTATAACTTATAATAAATATAAAAGTAGTCATGTGTTATATTTTTAGTTTATTTTTTTATTATTTTATTATCATTTTTTTTAATTGTATAATAAAAAAATATTTATTTTAAATATTATAATATTAAATAGACTATAAAAGATAAATAATCATATCTCATTATTTATTCCAAAAATAATATATTCTTTTTATAGTTTTTATTGTCAAACTTAGTTAATAAATTATTTCTTACATTATAATTAATTGTGAAATTATTTTATTTTTATATATGAAATGAGATGGGTCGGGAAAAACCTAAATTTAAGACTCGAGTTACCCATTTACCCGACGAAAACCCACTAACCCGCTGGGTAAAACCCAACCCGAACCCAAAAAACACTAGCCGGGTAACGGGTCGAGTTTGGGTAGTGTAAATTATATGCGGGTTGGGTTCGGGTTTGCCAAAACCCGTACTCAACCCGACCCATTTACATCCCTACATAGGTCCGCCTAGG